AGGAGGCCTGGGGCCTACAGTTCCATTGTGTTTGCCTGATCGGAGGGGCTGGGGCTGGGCGAGGGCCCCCCGAGCCCGCTGCGCCCCACTGGCCCTGTGCTCTCTGCCCTCAAGGTCCCGTCCCCTCTGTGGTGAGGACTGAGATCTTCCTGCAGTCCTCCCGGCCGGCCGCCTTCATGGTGGACGGGGCTGTGCACTGGCTCACCAACTTCATCGTGGGCTTCATGTTCCCTTCCGTCCAGGTGAGCAGGTGGTGGGCGGGAAGCACGGTGGGTGGCCCCTTGCCCCCCTCCCTGCCCCACCCTGCCCACCCCGAGGCAGAGAGCCTTCGGGAACCAAGCACAGGCTCCTTCTACTAAGAGCATCAGCTATTTCGGCATACGTGGTACCTTACTGGACAAACTTATGGTCAACACAAACTTATTGGTCAACACAAAACTGGCCACCGAGGAACTCCCTGGTGGCGCCCCGAGGCCTCCCCGGGAGCGGCCCCTGTCCTTCCTCCCTCCGTTCCCTCCTGTTTTCTTGTCTCTCGGCCCAGGAGGCCATCGGGGCCTACAGTTTCATCGTGTTTGCCGGAATCTGCCTCCTCACTGCTGTTTACATCTACGTGGTGATTCCTGAGACCAAGGGCCAGACATTTGTGGAGATAAACCGAATTTTTGCCAAGAGAAACGGAGTGGAGATTCCAGAGCCGCGAGAAGAAACCACAGGTGTTGAGCCTCACGCGTCTCCGCCCGCGAAGGAAACTTTCCTCTGATGGTTCTGCAGGTGCCACACCACACTCGGAGGCCAGTCCCCGAGAAAGGGACTCCCCCCAGGCCTCACGGGAGGGTCACAGCTCTGAGCTTTCTGCGCCCCCAGTGGCAACTGGAAGGCTTTGGAAAGATCAGTCCCTGGTTTGGTGGAGGTGTGGTTAGCTTCCAGCCCTAATTACCAGGTGGTGTGACTCCGGAGAATGGGCAGGCCCTCCGCATTGACTGGCAGGACTAGGTGCTCTGACTATGGGTGTAGGGGTCAGAGACTCATGGAATACTGCATGGAGGTACTTTTATAAAGTAAAATGTTTCAAGGTCAGCTATTCATAGGGAGGCCTGAATTCCAATCAATGTATTGGCTTGCGAATGAAAGGAACTAGAGGCCAAGGCTCCGGATTCCACTGCCGCTCACGCTCCGTGCCGTGGCTTGCACGTATTCTGGTCAGCGTCACAGCCTGCAGGGGCAGCTGGGCAAGAGAGGTAACAGGTGTTCTTGGGCCTGTTTAGAAAAACACCTTCTCTGGGTGGGTCAGTTGACCTCTGCCTTGGAAACAGGAGAGCACTGTATCGAAAGATACAAAGTGCCAAAGCTCACTCAGTAGGAAATAGACAGCCTGTGTAGTCCTACATCCACTAAAGAAATTGAATCTGTGGCTAAAAACCTTCCCACAAAGAAAACCCCAGGCCCAAATGGGTTCACTGGTGAATTCTACCAAACATTTAAGGAAGAAATAATACCAATTTGACACAAAGTCTTCCAGAAAATTAAAGAGGAAGGAATACTCCTGAATTCATTGTATGAAGAAGTCATCATTATTCCGATTCCAAAGCCAAACTAACGATGTTACAAGAAAACTACAGATTAACACCCCTCATGAACATAGATACAAATTTTACCAGATTTTACCATAGATACCAGATTTTAGCAAATAGAACACAATAATATAAGGATAATAATATATTCTGACCAAGTGGGCTTATTCTAGGAATGCAAGGTTGGCTTAATCCTCCACAAATTTATCTATAGATTCAACACGATTAGAACCAAAATTGCAGCAGGCCTTTTTTGGGCGGGGAGGGTAGAAATTGACAAGCCCATTCTACAATTTATGTGGAAATGCAAAAAAACCTAAAGTAACCAAACCAACTTTGAGAAAGATGAAGTTGGAGGACTTATTACCTCATGTCAATACTCATATAAAACTACAGGAATCAAAACAGCATGGTTGGTATAGCAGGTAGATCAATGGAGAACAAGAAATAACCCAGAAATAAACCGCCACATCCAGAGATAACTGATTTTTGTCTAAAGCAATCTGAACGGTGACAGGATAGTATTTCCAACAAATGCACTGGGGTATAATTATATCCATATGTGGGGAAAAAGAACTTTATCCATACCTTACATTAACGCAAAATGGATCACAGGCCTAAATTAAGACTTAATAAAACTTCTAGAATAGAACATAGGAGATAAATATTTATGAGCTTGGATTACACAAAAATAACACCAAAAGCACAATTCACAAAAGAAAATATTGCTAAATTGGACTTTGATACAATTAAGAACTTCTGCTATTTGTAAGACACTATTATGAATATAAAAAGACAACCACAGACTGACACATATATATGCAAACCTCATATCTGAGAAAGACATGTATCTAAATGTATAAATGTGTAATGAATAAAGAACTCTCAGAACTCAAATAAGGAAACAACCAATTCAAGCTTAAAAATGGGCAAAAGAGTGGAATAGCTACTTCACCAAAGAAGACACATGATGGTAAATAATCACATGAAAAGATGCTCCATATTTTTAGTAATTAGGGAAATGCAAATTAAAACCATGAGGAGATACCACTACACACCCGTTAGAGTGCCTAACGTTAAAAAGACTACATCAAGTGTTGACAAGGATGTGGAGAAAGCAGAACTCTTGTATTCTGCTGGCAGTAATGTAAAATGGTGCAGCCAATTTCAAAAAGGTTTCCGGTCCCTTAAAAAGTGAAACGTCTACCATGATCCAGCATTCCACTCCGGAGTATTTACCCCCATGTCCGTTCAAAGGCTTGTACCCAAGTGCTCATAGCAGGTTTATTTGTTATGGCCCCAAACTGGACACACTACAAAAGTGCATCCCCAGGTGAGTGAATGAATGAATTGTGGTCGATCCATACAACAGCATACTTCTTCGCAGGGCAAAGATACGAACGACTGCCACCTGCCACAATATGCAGGAACCTCAAAGTCATTCTCCTCCAGGGCACAAGACAGACCAAAAAACACATACTATGTTAT